ATTTTGAGCCTTCCCAAAAAGGAACATGGTATACCTTTTCACTTTTATTGTCTTCTGTTGTGTTCTTTAGTAAGGCTTTATAATTTTATTTTATAATGGTCCTATACTTTTTTGTTTAATTTATTCCTAGGTAATTTTTTTTTGCCTTTATGAATGGGGTCATTTACTTCCACCTTTTTTTTTTTAACCAGGTTATTGAAAGGGTAGATAATAGGATAACTAATTTTACATATTTGTATTGTATTGCATTACTTTATTGAACTCTGTTTTCTAATGGTTTTTCATTTGATTTTCTTGATTATTTCAGTAAACTGTCTCCCAATAATTATTTTCTATATCTTTATTTCTTATTTCATTTCTGGTTTTATTATAATGATCAGAAACTTTTATAACATTCTCAATATTGAAATAATGGTAATAGGTGCCTTTGTCTAGTTCATCTACTGAGATGCTGAACAGATTTCTCCTTAATTCTTAATACTTAAAAGTTCTTAACTTTTATCTATCTTTAAAAATATCATTGTAAACACTTTTGGTTACTATATATATTTTTTGTACACCACATCATTTGTTTACCAAAAGTGGGTATGGGTGTTGGCACATAGGTACATAGACAAAATTGGTCCATAATTTCTTTCTTTATATTTGTCAGTTTTGGATAGACAAATTATACCAGCCTTGTATAATCATTAAGGAGGCTTTTTCTTATTTTTCGGGCTCTGTGACAGTTTAGATATCACAGAAGTTATCTGGATCCTTGAAGATTTGACATAATAGCCCAGCTCTGAAACAATGTGGGCTTCATTTCTTTTTTGTTACCAGATTTCTAGGGCAAACTTTTAAGTTTTACAGTGTCTCTTCAGTTTTTCTGCCTCTGAAAGCAGTGCTGGTAGTTGATACTTTTCATGATGATGGTTAAGATACTGTAGTTTATTGACATAGAGTTACATGTGTTATTCTTCAAGAAATTTTAAAACTTCCTTTTTTTTGTATTACCACCTTTCTTGTTTCTACTGGTAAGTTTTCTTCCCTTTTGATCCTCCATCCAACTTCTTGGAAAGAAAAAGCCTTTGACTATCAAATTGTTACATTATATTTTGTTATCCTACTTTATGTTAGTTTATTTTTCAAAATTCTTGAAATAAATTTTTTTCTATATTCAGATTTGATTTTCTTTCTTTTTTTTTTTAGGTGGAGTCTCGCTCTGTTACCTAGGCTGGAGTGCAGTAGCATGGTATCAGCTCACTGCAACCTCTGCACCCTGGGTTCAAGTGATTCTCCTGTCTCAGCCTCCTGAGTAGCTGGGATTACAGGAGCCTTCCACTGCACCCAGTTAATTTTTTTGTATTTTTAGTAGAGACGGGGTTTCACCATGTTTACCACCAGGCTGGTCTCAAACTTCTGACCTAAGGTGATACTCCCGCCTTGGCCTCCCAAAGTGCTGGGTTTACAGGCTTGAGCCACCATGGTTGGCCTGGAAATTTTTTTGACTGCCAGCCCAATAAGTTTTGATATCTGATATTTCCATATTAGTATAGTTTTTTATTTCTTTGGCTCAATAATAATTTAGAGCCATGTTTTTAATTTTTTTTAAGCATTTAGCTTGGAAGATATCTCTATTTATAATTCCTATTTGTATTACAGTGTGGTCAAAGAATATGGCCAATATTGTTTCAGTCCTCTGCAATTTGAAGTAAGTTTTCTTCATTTATTGGCACTGTCAGTTTTAAAAAAATGGCTCATAAACATTTTAAAATACATGTAAACTTTCCTAACCAACTTTATTTTAGAAATAGCAGTAAAACTTAGAGGATTATGTACCTTATTTTATGTCACAGTTACTTGTAAGTGATATATCTAGCTTTCTCAATTTTAATCTCATCAGTTTCCCATTAGATTTCACTGCCTCCAGAATATAAATGTTTATATATTTGGTATCCTCTAATATATGTATATAGTTACATAAAAAATCAAGTCCATAAGAAGTTATAAATTTAGAATATGGTTTTATAACATTTAGAAAAGTATATTATTTAGAATATTATTTAGAAATCATTTGCATCTTTAGAACTGAACAAGGTCTCAAAAGCATGACTTAAACTAATTTGACTGAATGGGTCATCTGTAGGTAGATGGGGAATGAACAAGAAAGGATATCACACATATGGAGAACTTAAGGAATAAAGGCCTGTGTGCCTTTGTGAGAAGACAAGCCTAACCTAGATAGAAGGGAGGTCCTTATTGGAGGGTGATAGGAAATATGACTGAATAAGTGGCATTGAGCCTGATTAAAGGTCTAGTGAAAAAGTTTAAAAAATTAAATACAATGCAGTTCTGTCAATGACTAGTATCACATTTCATTTTGCAAACGCATGGTGATTTCATTGCAATGTCTGTGATAATTAGCATAGGTCATCAAAATATGTGGACAAATATAATTCTAGAACAGGATTCTGAGGAGGTAGTGTGAGGCAAATGTAACATATTGTTAACTTTACTCATAATGACAGATTGTGTAGAACTCTGCTACATATACCAACATGGAACATCTGTTGAGAATTTGAATAGATATGATTCCAGTATATTTTAAAAGCCATAAAATTTCTTAAGGAAGTATATAAAAATAGGAAATGCATTTATGCTGGTAAAAATGTTTTCTTGTGTGTCTGAAAAACAGCTCCAGGAAATTTAGAAGTTTAAACACCTATATATTGAAAATTACTGTGACTTTGGCAATTTGCTTGTGAAAATTAGGAGAATCTTAAATTCAGCAAAATCAAGAGTTGGACATATAAGAGGTTAGAGTATAAGAGGTTCTATATTTCAGTTTTATAATAGAAATCTGCTATTTACTAAAACAGCTTCTATTTTGAAAGTAGGTAGGTGAATCATGAACACTTAGTGGAATCATTCCATATATGTAAACCTACAGTAGTATTTTAAGAGACTCAGTACAAATTTGTTTTGTTTTGGTCATGCTATTTTGGACTAAAGTGTGATATATGAAATATTGGAATATTCTCAAAGTCTATTACAGGTTGAGCATCCCAAATTCAAAATTCAAGATCTGAAATACTGCAAAATCCAAAACATTTTGAGTGCCATCATGATATTCTAAGAAAATGTTCATTGGAGTATCCTGGATTTCGGATTTTCGGATTCAGGATACCCAACCAGCATAATGCAAACATTCCAAAATCTGAAAAAGATCTGAAATTGGAAACGCTTCTGGTCCCAAGCATTTCAGATTAGGGATCCTCAGCCTATAGCCTGTGACAATCATTGTGTCAGGTCCATATCAACAAAACAGTAATTGATTGTTAATGTTTTAGATTTATTCTCAGTTTCAGTGTACTTTATTATATATGTCCCCTCCCCATAATAGGAAGATTTTAATGAGTTCTAAGCAAAGTTGAGAACTAATCAGGCACACAGTGAGCCTTAATAATCTTAAATATTAAAATACAGTTGATATTTATGGCTGTTATATATTCACAGCAGTGATAAGCCTTTGGAATGACATGTATATCCTCAAAATAAAGCTTTTTCAAGGGAAAAGTATTTTAAACTAATTTGTTCTCTTCTTCTTTTTATAGTCTTCTGCTACATAGTAATGATCTATTAGCCTTCCTTTTAATGAAGTCTGATGTTACGTAACTAGAGTATTTCATTTAATGTATATCAGTTATTTTTTCTCCCATCTATAAAATACAACCATATAGGTCATAAGAATTACGTAAGAAAGGCATATTTTTTTTTTAACTAAAAAACTCTTTAATGGAATGGATTTTTGTAATCTTGTGTGAAGCCCAAAATGTTTTATGGTTATTAGAGCTAGAATTTGTACATAAGTATAATATCAATGAATGTAGAAAGCTTTATCTTAATCACATGAGACTCTTGTACATAGCAATATTTGATGTGTAAGTCTGTAGATATTTCTATATGATTAAATATTTTTTAGATTTTGTTTATGTGTAAAAACATTAGCGTTTGTTATTTCCCATTATTATTTGTATATTATGAGACTTTTTAATAAAGAAAAACTAAGCTTAAACCTCGTTAATAGGTGATAATATATAATAATTATTATTCTTACATTAATAAAATACACATACTATTGAAGTAATAAGTGCTTCTTTTTGTGATAATTGTAATCCCAGGGCTTGATGTTGCATTCCTGATTTGTGTGCTATTCAGCTAAAAGTTAATTGCAGTAATATGACCATGTATTTAAGAGCCATTTTCTTTCAGATTTGAGTATTGTTGGGAGCTATATATCAACCCTAGAATTTTGGTATTGAAAACTGATGCTTAGAAAGGTAAAACAGAATGGGAAAACTTATCACCTTCATCTTATGATGTCTGTGACTAGACTGACTGGGCTCTGATAAGTTGTACAAAATTACTCACTTTGTAAGTTTAGACAGACTATTTTACCACTTTCATGTGTGGAAACAAAACAAACGTTTATATAGTGAAGGGATAAAGAAGGGCCTTTGTGGCTGGGCAAGGTGTCTCTGGCTTGTAATACCAGCAGTTTGGGAGGCCGAGACGGGCAGATCACTAGCCACAAGTTTGAGACCAGCCTGGCCAACATAGTGAAACCTCATCTCTACTAAAAATACAAAAAATTAGCTGGGCTTGGTGGCGAGCACCTGTAATCCCAGCTACTTGGGAGGCTGAGGCGAGAGAATTGCTGGAATCCTGGAGGTAGAGGTTGCAGTGAGCCAACGTCACACCACTGCACTCCAACGTGAGAATCCATCTCAAAAAAAAAAAAAAAAAAAAAAGAAAAAGAAAGCCTTTGTGGTCAGTTACTCAGAAAATTGAGACTATGGAATATGGGACTGTGTTTTTAGATGCACTTCCTTGTTTGTAATACTTGAAAAGCCAAAAAAGAAACGGTTTGAATGCAAGAAGAATTAAATTTGTAATATTGAAGGATTTTAGAAATTTAAGTAATTAACCAAAATTGTCATTTTCATTGCGTTTTCCAGGCAATTAAGTTGGAATATGCAAGGTTGGTTAAGTTGGCCCAAGAAGACACCCCACCAGAAACTGATTATCGTTTACATCATGTAGTGGTCTACTTTATCCAGAACCAGGCACCAAAGAAAATTATTGAGAAAACATTGCTAGAACAATTTGGAGATAGAAACTTGAGTTTTGATGAAAGGTAATTTGAAAATACAAAATTTATTTGCTCAGATTGTTCTTTTTTACCTGCTGATTCCAAGGATAATTTTTTGAGTATTTATTTTATACATGCACGGGCACATTTTTTTAAAAAATGCATGACAAAATTTGAACTCACTTTAATGCCTCAAAAAAGGCAACTGTTATGGCCTTTTGAAGTTTGAACTGAAAATAATTTAGATCATTTTAATAAATTTTAATTGTAAATCGATCACTGCACTTACTACACAATATTTTAGAGACACAAAAATGGGGTTCTCAACCTCTGTACTATAGACAGTTTAAATTGGATAATTCTTTGTTGTTGGGGCTATCCTGTGATTGTAGGATGTTTAATAATATCTCTCATCTCTGTTTGTTAGATGACAGCAGCAGCTTCCAAATTGTGGCATATCAGAATATCTCCAGGTATTGCCAAATAACTCCTGAAGCAAAATCAACCTGATTAGATAATTTTTATAGGACTTTCTGAATAGTTTTATAGGACTTTCTGAATATTTCTTTATAGAAAGTTCTATAAAACTTATGTTAAAAATCACAATTTAATTAGAATGAATGACACTAGAAAATAATTTTAAGACCCGTATGAAATTTCAGGGTATTACAAGTTATTTTTGTTTATAAAAACATTTGTGCTGTCTTTCAGTTCATTGTAATTATATTTTAATTCTCAAATAAATGATTATTCTTTTCTGAATGTCTCTAAAATACTGCATTAAAGTGTGTAGCAAAGAAGAATATGAGGGAAAGCAAATTTTCTGGAATCAATTCCTGCTGTATGTATGTGCTGTGAAATGGATTCTGTGTATAATGCAAGTAAATGGTTTTAAACAATATCTGATAGATGGTTGAAGGCTCAATGAATGTTGGCCACTACTGTTTGTATTAGTAGCAGTATGAACATCATTTATTTTGATGCATATGACTGCAGAGAGTTCAGAAATAGGGTTGTTGTGACCCTCGTTATCTGTGCTATCAGTGTACTGTGTTCTGTTCAATCTACACTGTTTAATTTGGAGAAGATATTAATGGAGTAATCACATTGACTTTTCAATCATTTGCAATTATCTGTCTATAGTCAGTCTGTTTTGATAACCTGACTTGTGCTTGAAAGACAGAGTTAGGTGCATGTGGTTAAATATATTTTGTGGGGATTTCTTTATCAATGATTCTGATCATAAAATCCACTGGAATATTTCCATTTTTACCTGAGATTATAGGCACATTCTTGACTCTAGCATTTAAGGATAAATAATATCATATGGGGGAAAAAGAAGATGCAGTGTCTCTTGAGCTTGCTTAATAGATGCACATTGTTTTTAAAAAGTTTCATTTTTTTTTTCCTATGGAAAATGTGTTAGTAGAATGTTATTTAAAAGCCAAAGCCGTATATATAGTAAATTTGAATTAGAATTATTGCTCTTATCTTCTTGTTAATTCTCCAACATTGGTACCAAAAATGTTTTCACTTAAGTTTATTTAGGATTTGTTTCTGTAAAAAGGTATTGCTGTTTTTGCTCACTGTTTATGGATTTTGCTTTTGTAGATACATACATATACATATATTTATAAGTCTATTGTATTTTTTTTTTAAAGGTGTCACAACATAATGAAAGTTGCGCAAGCCAAATTGGAAATGATAAAACCTGAAGAAGTTAACTTGGAGGAATATGAGGTAATGTGCTCTTTTAGATGTTAAACTATAGATTTAGAGATTCCGTAATTCACTGATACTCCTTATATTTCAGCACAACTGAACTTGAATTTTTATGAATGATGAGTAAAGAATTAAGTTTCCAAGTCAATGCTCAAGTAATGAATACTTTTATAAGTGAGATAGTATGTAGGCCAAAAAGCTTAAAATCAAAAAAGGAAGATTTTTGGTTTTCTATTTCAATACTAGTTCTCAACTTACTTTTTAAATATAAGGCATTTTTCTAAGCCCTTTGCATATATTAACTGATTTAATTCAGACAGTAACATTGTGAGGTGGGTAGTGTTCTTATTCTCATTTGACACATGAGAAAATAAGGCATAGAGCAGTGAAGTAACCTGCCTAACGTTTTCACAGCTACAAGTTTACAACTTGGCTAACAGAACCTACATTCTTAACTTGTACTACACTGAAGGTGGGCTATATTTTTCTTTCACTTTGATTTATCAGATATATTTTGAGGAAGTTAGAGATTCATTTTAGTCGTTATATGTCATACATTTTTCTCATTACAATACAGTGTTGGGTGAGAGAGCACTTACATAGGTACTTGTACATGTGCTTGTGGGATTTTCTTGTGCACAAAATTATTTTTGTCAACTTTGGCTTTAAAATATTCTTTATTTTAATTGATGAATTCATACACCTAGTATTTCTTCCCAATTAATTTTTAATGTGTTTTGTATAGACAGGGTCTTGCTTTGTTGATCAGGCTGGTCTCAAATTGCTGGCCTCAAGCAATTCCCTGTGCCTTGATCTCCCCGTAGTGCTGGGATTATAAGCATAAGCCACCACATCCAGCCTTAATTTTAATTTTCAAGACATAATTTTCATGCTATTAGTAGATCTTAATAACAGATAAAGGTAAAATTTGTCCTGCAAGTATAAAGTTAACTTTTCTGGAGAAGGTATTGAAACTGTCATTCCTTGTTGTCATTAGAATTGCCTTGGAAGTTTTGAGTAGGCAAACTTCTGTAAAAGGCCAGAAAGTAAATGTTTTACACTCTGAAAGCCTCATTTTCTTCAGCTACTCAACTCTCTAACTGCAGTGTGAAAGCATCCACAGACAATATGTATACAAATGGCCATGTTCCAATAAAACTTCCTTTATAAAAACAAGCTGGTCTGTAGGCTATGGTTTGCTGAACCCTGAACTTAAGGCAAGACAAAGATAGGAGGAATATGCAGAATCTTAAAAACAAGTGATTTAAATACTTGTATGATTTAATGGCCCTGCAGTTAGGATATGAGGTTTGTGAATAAAAATATGCTGAGTCCAATCCATTGAAGTAAACTGAAGGAACTGGGAGCTTCTATCTGTAACCCCAGCTACTTGGGGGACAAGTAGGAGGATTTCTGGAGCCCAGAAGGTTGAGGCTGCAGTGAGCCAGGATCATGCCACTGTACTGCAGACTGGGCAACAAAGTGAGACCCTGTCTCCAAAAAGAAAATGTATATTCAAGGAGAATATGGTTGGCTAATAACTTGTTTGAGTTTCTTATTTTTGTTTATAATGTTTATATAAAAGCCTTAACATTTTTGTTATCAGTATTCTCTTTTTGATTTATCCTATATTGAATTTCAGTTATTTTTCTTGAGTCAATTATTGTAAAGTAAGTTAAGAAAATCTTGACTTTGTTCTCTTCGAGAGTTACAGTGTATCACCTTAGAATTATTTAGTCCTATTACATGCCTTATAGCTTTTTTTTTTGATGGGGGAGGGGCGTTGAAATGTGAGCTGCAGCTGTTGTTCTATCATATCTCATGTAAATAAACTATTTATATACCTACTCAATCCAAATTTACCACAGATTTCCAAAGTTAAAAGGTTAAATAATCATAACTTTTTTTTTGGTTTCTTAAAATTATGTATCAGGTATGTGTTCAAGCTTTGATTCATACTGCGTGATAATTTCATTTACTTCCTATTGTCAGTTGATGTAGATACAGTAATATTTCAATAATGCGATTTTATACCAATGAGTTTTTGAGAGAGATGACCTGATTGATTATCCTGCCTTTATATTTCTGTATTCTGCTAGTAAAGTATTTATTGTTTAATTCCATATCAATGTCTAACAATTTTTAGATTTAATGTTATATTAATAAATATAAATAATCTTGTGTGTCAGAAAGTAAAATCTTGTTTTAGGTCTAGTGTATCTTAATTTTGAACTCTTTGTTTCTGTTACTTCAAATAGCAGCAAAGCAGTGTGCTACTTTTTGAACAGTTTCATAGTAGTTTTTAAATCTTACTCTGAATGTTTTTAATATTTTCTTTCTCCTACAGGAGTGGCATCAGGATTATAGGAAATTCAGGGAAACAACTATGTATCTCATAATAGGGCTAGAAAATTTTCAAAGAGAAAGGTAAGGCAAAGTGGACAAATATGAAAAAAGCATAATTTTTGTACCTAGTTCTATTCAGGTGTGACCTCCTCCATGAAAAAGATTTAACTCACACTCTGTATTTTTAATAAATGTTTTATTTTAGATCAGTTTTAGAATTACAGAAAAATTGCAAAGTTAATATAGAGGCTTCCCATATACCCCACATAAAATGTATTTTCCATTTAGAAATAAATCTTTAGGTTGGCATCAGGTCTCAAATACACTTAAAGCTGAGTCTGATCTTGATATCAAATCAGAGATAGTGTTTGCAGTCTGTCTTTGTGAACTGTAAAATGTGTAGCTGTAGAAAATTTCTGAGTACTGTGACTTTAAACAAATTTTAATTAATTTTTATTTAAATTAAAGATAGTCTTAAAGGAATTTTTACTTAACTATACTATTATTTTAATTGTTAATTATTAAGAAGAAAGGATACATTTTGCTTACATTTCAGATTATTTACTAGTTTGCATGTACTTCTCCACATATTTCTTAATTCACATTGTTTAACATTAACTTGACTGTGATTGTTTTTTGAGAAAATATTTTATTTTCAATGCACTGTATATTGCAGCCAAGTAAAAGGGATATTTTTCCTTTCCCTTATTTTTTTAAATGAAGTTTAAGATGCTCTCACTTAGGTAATGATGCTGCTGCTTTTTGAAAAAGTGAAACAAAGATCAACGTTTAATTATGGAGGTATACTGTCCAACTTAGTGGCCACTGACCTTGTGTCAAAACTTAACTAAAACTTAAAACTAAAAGTTCAGTTCGTCGGTTGTACCAGCCAAGTTTTGGTAGTTCAGTAGCCATATGCGGCTAATGGCCTCTATTTTTGGCCAGCACAGAACATTTCCATAATCACAGAAATTTCTATTGGATAGTACTATTCTAAAGAACAATACTTCATTTTTATATTAATAGTTACCAAAATTTTTAAAGTTACCACACAAAAGGAAAAAGTAACTTTTTAATTGACAATTTATCTTAAGTACAAATTATTTAAAGTCCTAGTCATGCTATTCATAAGATGATTTCACTTTGGTCATTGATAGAGAAAACTTACTTTGATCGATACCTTCATTTTATGAGTTGTGTCAGTCAAGATTTTATTTCTTTAATAGCAATATTCAAGTGTACTATTAAGATTTATAAGATTTCTGCTGATATGAGAAATATTAATATGATTGTATAATTCAATAGAGTAAGATAAAAAAGGCATTTCAGTGTTACAGATAAAGAAATCAGACTTCACAGAGATGTGGTAACTTTGTCAAGGTCACACAGCTAACTAGGAAGAAAAAAATTAAAATAGAGACCTCTGTGTTCTTGTATAATTTAATGAAATCATGTAAATATAAAATGTATTCATTTATCTCAGTAAGAATTAAAAAGATGACACTGTCACTTTGTACCTATCTAGATAGCTTCTATAGTTTGTTCCCAGTTAACATATATTAAGGGAAGTTAAGATGTAACTTGGAAATATGTTTAAATTTTATAATTTGCTTGTCACTTTTCAAATACATACTTACTCAGAAAGCTAATATTCTAGTATAGTAAATGCTTATCAAATTAGAAGGATTAACTAGAAAATAATGGTGACAGATATTACTTATGGAATATCTTTTAAAGAAATATTGGCTTTATCACTTTAAATATAGCAGTTGTTGTAGCTAGTTGTGTGTAAAATATTGCCAAAAGGTTCAGTCAAAATTGTTTTTAATGAATATGTAAACATTTAAAGCCTTGAATGAAATGCTTACTTATGGACCCTTGTCAGTTCTGTGAATAGTGAAGTGAAATTGTGGTTGCAAGAACCATAATTTTATAGTAGCACAAGTGGAAGATAGAGTGTACCAGGCTACATGACCTTATTTTGTCTTACATAAGAATATAATAATTAGACTGCAAATCTTATTCTGAATTTACTTGAATATACATTCGTAACCACTTTAAAGTTTGATAAAATATGGAACATTTTGCGTACATCAGTAGAAAATTTGAACACGTTTTGGTTTCAGAGCAGTTCTCAAAGAGGTGACTCAGGTCTAGAAAGCCAGATGTGAATGTCGTTTAGAAGAGATCTTCTTAACAGGAAACTCCTTAGCTATAAAGGAAAAGATAGACGTGCTAGTTATTTATTGATAAACATACTACTACAACTTAATGTTTTAACATAACATTTAATATTATAATATCCTTTGTTTTTCATAAATAAAATCTTTAGCTGAGAATATGTTTAATTAACCTAATATTGTTTCAAAATAAAATGTTATACTCAAATTAATCTCAAAAACAAATTCTTAGAAAGCCATTTTCAAAAAATGTTTAAAATAAACTTATTTATCATGATACCTTCAGGTGTATAATTTGCTTTGCCATAAATGTATACATTAGTTTTTGAATAATTTTACATTTAACATTTGGAGTGTGAAATGGATTCATTTTGTCTCTTAAGTACATGCATTAAGTAATTATTGGCAGGAGAGTCTAGAGTTTAAAATTGTGTTTCTTTACAATATTTTATTTTTAAAATTTTACATTTTCCATATTAATCTAACATGTTAGAAGGATAATTAGTTTGGAGGTAAAAGTAATTCTTTATTAAATATTTTTCTCTTCCATTTTTTGTTTTGCTTTGTATTTTTGAGCCGGATCTTGCTCTGCTGCCCAGGCTGGAGTGCAATGGTGTGATCATAGCTCACTATAGCCTCTAACTTCTCAGCTCAAGAAGTCCTCCCACCTCAGCCTCCCAAGTAGCTGGTACTTACAGGCATGTACTGTGAGGCCCAGCTGATTTTTTTTTAATGTTTTTGTAGAGATAAGGATCTCACTGTGTTTGGCCAGGCAGATCTTGAACTCCTAGCCTCAACTAATCCTCTCACACCACCTCCCAAAGTGTTGGGATTACAGTCATGAGCCACCATGCCTGGCCCCTTTTCTTCCCTTTTTAAAACCTAATTTGAACTTCATAATATCTAGACTTAATATAACACATAGGCCTAACTTCATCAGTTTTTTTTATGTTTGGGGGCTTTTTGCTTTTGCTTTATTCCACTAGTTTTCCCAGATTTAGAAGCAGTCTTTCATTTTTCCACTTCCTCTATCTCCTTTACATATTCTTCTTTCTTTCTTTCTTTCTTTCTTTTTTTTACCTTTTTCTCATTAACTACACTTGTCTGCACATAGAAAAGAACCTGTCTAAGTAGTCATTGAACAAACTAAATGATGTTTGTGATCATAAAACAAAGTAACCTGAGTTTTTACTTCATACAACCGTGACACTGTGTTAAACAAGTAGGTTGCTGGCTTTCACATTAGCTTCAATTTTGAGTTTAAATGGAAGACATCAGGAAAATAAATACCAAGGAGGACAGAACTACCTGAATTTATCAGTTATTGCCTCTTTTCCCAGTTTTTTGCTTAATCTGTAGCTCCTATTTTATTTTGTACTTTTAAGATACAACTGTCTCCTGGTTTCAGATGTTGCTGTTGCTAAAAAGGTGCTCTCAGGCATACATTGCATCAAATGATATTTTTTATTGTAATGTAGTTAATCAAAACTTAAGCTTGTACTTAAAATGTTTTATAATTGTAGCTGACTTTGTTTCTACAAAGGTGAAATACTAATGCTGTATGTTTCTTTTTAATTTTTAAGTTATATAGATTCCTTGCTGTTCCTCATCTGTGCTTATCAGAATAACAAAGAACTCTTGTCCAAAGGCTTATACAGAGGACATGATGAAGAATTGATATCACATTATAGGAGAGAATGTTTACTAGTAAGTTGAATGCATATAGTATGATCTTATCATTTTGTTTTACATTGGGCAAATTTTCCAGACTCATATAAAAGTGACTGACTCCATAAATTCTGATGGGATAAGAATATGGTGATGTCTATTAACTGGTTCTTTTCCTTTCAGATAGCAAAGTACACTCAGTACTTTATTTTTTTCTCTTCATAAATCCCAAGTCCTGTAGGTGATAAATGAGAAATGTTCTTAAAATAGCATCAGTTTGTTTACATTCCTATATTTAGATTTCTTCATCCCACTACCACTGCATTTTTTGGTGGGAGAGAAATGGATGCATACATCAGCCTTAAAAAAAAGCTTTATGTAAGTCTATAAGAATATGCATGGAATGTATGAGAGTAATTTCTATTTAACTTAAAAATTGAATTTTGAGGCATAAGAATAGTATAGCTGATTTTAAACATAAATACAACAAACACTTGATGGTTCCTCTGAAACATTCAAAAAATGGTATGATATTTCTCATTGTTTTTTGTTAATAACCCAGCCACAATTGGCTATTTATTTTTCATAGGAATTTAAGTGAAACCTCATCAAGATTACTTTAATGTTCCTTTCAGGTTTTTCATATTACATATTTATAGAGTGTCAGGTTCTGAGGGATACAAACATGAGTCAGATGCACTTCCTGTCCTCAGAAAACTCAGTCTGGTAGGAAACATACAGAAATGATCATCATATTCTGGAATAATTGCTATTATAAGAAATATGCAAAATGATATGCCTGAAATATTTGGGAAGAGCCTTAAGAGAGAAGATAAACCTGATCTGGATCTTGATGGATAAATAGGAGTTTTATTAATGATAGAGAAGGGAGAATATTCCAGTACATAACAGAAAATCGAGATAAATTCATTGTGCCTAGCCAGGCTATGAGGAAGTGGGGTTAGATGGAAGTAATGAAACTGACAATACTTGTTGATGTCAGATGATAAAGAAACTTATAGGGCATTCAAATGAATTTTCACCAGTGTAAGTTTGGCATGATGAGGTTTTCAGAAAATAATTCTGATAATAACAATAGCATTACTAGAGGATGGATAAGAAAGAAGTAGATTGAAGTCAGAAACCTTATAGGGGAAAGTCAAGGGATGGAGGGTGAGGGCCTCAACTCAGGTAGTACAGTGGGTATGATGGTGAAGGAAATGAAATGTGGGCATGTCATAGCTGTTGGGTGAGAGGGAAGAAGGAAATGGAAGAATCAAAGCTGCCAAACTTTCTAGTTTTTCATTTAGTATTGGGTAATCTAATAGGAACAACGTTGGCTTTGAACATGTTATATTTAAAATATTTCTAGGACATTCTTTGATTCAGTGAAGTTAACATTAAACTTACTAAATTTTATGCATCTTTTAATGCATATTTTCAAAAATTATAGTAGATACTTGAAGACTTACCTCATTTTATTCTCTTAAACCCTATGGATGGAAGATAAAATAATACCCTATTAATGTAAAGAAAGCGAAAACAAGAGATTTAGCTATTTTGTTCAAGATTGGTGTATTAGTCTGTTCTCATACTGCTCTAAAGATACTACACAAGACAGGGTAATTTATAAAGGAAAGAGGTTTAATTGATTCACAGTTCCACATGGCTGGGGAGGCTTTAGGACTCATGGAGGAAGGTAAAGGGGAAACAAGGACCTTCTTCACATGGCAGTAGGAGAGAGAAGTGCAAGGAGGGGAAATGCCGGATGCTTGTAATACTGTGAGATCTCCTGAGGTTCACTCCCTGTCACAAGAACTGCCCCCATGACCTGCTTACCTCCCACCAGGTCTCTTCCTCAACACCTGGGGATTACAATTCAAGATAAGATTTGGGTGGGGACCGAAAGCCTAACCATATCAATTGGGTAATTGATTCATGGCCAAGGTGGACTTACAGCACAAGCCCCTTTCCAAAATCAAAATAAATTGCACAAGAATTGTGTGGTGTAAACCTAAATATGTAACTTTTGTATTTGAAATTCAGCTTTAAAAGTCGAATTTATCATGTATTTATCTCATATATTTCTTATTACATGGATTTCTCTGTTCTGCAAGATCAGTGATCAGCACACTATGGCTTGTGCTCCATCTACCACTTGTTTTTATAGATAAGTTTTATTGAAATATAGCCATGTGCATTCATTTGTATTTTATGTATTATTGCCTTTTACTACAATGGCAGAGTTGAGTAGTGCAACAGAAGCTATGTGGCCTTCGAAGCTTAAAATAGTCCCTGTCTGGCCCTTCACAGAAAAAGTTTGCTAATCCCTGTACCAAATTTTAAGCTTCATGAGAGTTTTCTGTATTAAATCACTTGCGTGCTCCTGCATCTGCAAAAATTCTGGCACATGATGTGTACTCTGTAGGGATTTTTTGAAGGGCTAAGTGAATTGATTACCTTTCTGTTTTTATATTAAGGAATATAGTAGTGTATATTCAGTTGACATTTATGGAGATTGGTTTTTCAGAAATTAATATGGAGTCTGGAGTCTGCATTTCTTTATTGATAAAACTATTTTGAGTGCTTGTAAAATTTTATAATTGGGGGAAATTAATCTCTAGAGAAGAAAAAAATGGCCCATATCGTGATGATTGACATAATGTAAGCCAAACATGAATGAAAAACACAATGTTTTCTCCACCGTTTGCTTTTGTTTCTTTTGTTGTCATATGCATAGCTTTTTCTAAAGAGAGGTTTTCAGTTCTAGCATAGGTTGAGATTGTTTTTTCTAAATAGCATTTGTTCTAATACTGTTTGTAAACATATTTATGTTGTCTTCCATATTAATACTTAACAGATATTTAATTTAAAAAGGAAACAAAAACCTAGTCTTTTGTTTTTTTCATTGCATGAAGAAATTAAATGAGCAAGCTGCAGAACTCTTTGAATCTGGAGAGGATCGAGAAGTAAACAATGGTCTGATTATCATGAATGAGTTTATTGTCCCATTTTTGCCATTATTACTGGTGGATGAAATGGAAGAGAAGGATATACTAGCTGTGGAAGATATGAGAAATCGATGGTGTTCCTATCTTGGTCAAGAAATGGAATGTAAGTTTAAACAATGGTAGTATGCAACTGAATTGTTGGGATTAAACACGGTTAGAATTAGATGTTATTCTTGCCATTTTTTACATTAAATATAAGTATTATGTTTAATATTTTCACATGTACATTATTACTTTTTCCATATTGATGAGCTAAGCTGTGTGCATTGCATTGTCTCCCCAAAATGGCAATTATCTTACCTATTATGGCAAGTCAATATTAATAAATCATGTTGCGAATTTCTATCTTTAATTAAATTGTTTGTATTTGCAGCACACCTCCAAGAAAAGCTGACAGACTTTTTGCCAAAACTGCTTGATTGTTCTATGGAGATTAAGAGTTTCCATGAGCCACCGAAGTTACCTTCGTATTCCACGCATGAACTCTGTGAGCGATTTGCCCGAATCATGTTGTCCCTCAGTCGAACTCCTGCTGATGGAAGATAAACTGCACACTTTCCCTAAACACACTGTATAAACTCTTGTTAGTTCTTAACCCTTGCCTTCCTGTCACAGGGTTTGCTTGTTGCTGCTATAGTTTTTAACTTTTTTTATTTTAATAACTGCAAAAGACAAAATGACTATACAGACTTTAGTCAGACTGCAAATAATAAAGCTGAGAATCGCATGGCGCTCAGACTTTGTTTTAACCGGAACTGATGTATAATCACAAAGCTAATTGATTTTATTATGGCAAAACTATGCTTTTGCCACCTTCCTGTTACAGTATTACATTGCTTTTATCTTTTCTTTCTCAACAGCTTTCCATTCAGTCTGGATCCTTCCATGACTACAGCCATTTAAGTGTTCAGCACTGTGTACGATACATAATATTTGGTAGCTTGTAAATGAAATAAAGAATAAAGTTTTATTTATGGCTACCTATGTGTTTGTAAGCAGGTATATTGTATATTAGTGTATTATTTAGTAATATATAAATGAATTTTGTTTGGGGATTAAGATTGGGCAGTGAATAGATTAATAGTCTTTTAATTCTGCTCTAATGGTAGCAGATTGGAAAATTTTTAAGTATTTGACACTTAAATTTATCTATATTTTTAACAAAGTTCTTGAACTTAGTATGGCACCTGAACCTGTTTTGAATTCAGCCAGGTTTTTACTCAAGTAAGTGGTTGATTTTTAAGTCAAACTACACTGAAACTTTTAACCTTTTCTTAGATTAATCTTTTTAAATGTACTTAAAATATATAGCAAGATGATTATTTCAAGAGAATCCCAAAGTACTTGAATAAGGGCTATTGTAAAACTTAAAAGAAATATTTATATATGCACATATATACACATACACACATGTGTTCTTCATAATGGAGGGCAATGTTTTGCAATATATTTGTCATTCTATTTTTGTAAATTGTGTATCACTTTAGTTGAAAATGTTCTCTACTAATTAATACTGTGAAACAAAATTGATATTGTTTAACTAGAAGTTACAAGTGTCTTAACTGCCTTTATTCCTTTTCAAAAAGAAAAAAGCTATAGAACATTTTGTAGATGAAACTACTGTTTAAGATTAACGAATTAATATTGTGAATGAAAATCAAAATCCACACTTTAATCATGTTACTAACAACCTATTTTTTGAATTCATAAAAATTTCTTTATAAATGATGCTTTGTGAGCATAGTAAAACAGACCATTATACTATGTGTATGTTTGATACAGCGTCGTCAAAACTAGTGTTCTTTGTAAGTGCCTCTTACAAAGATCCTGGATGGAGGAGTAAGACAAAATATTATGCTATTGTGTGATGCTCTTTGTAAAGGTGTCAATGTTCTAGTAAGATATTAATGACAAGGAATTGGTACTATTCTTTTTGTAAAGTTAGATTTTGCATATTGTACCTATCAAAATATGTTTGGGTTTAAATTTTAAGTTGTCTACTGAGCAGAATTCTGCATTGGTTTTTCCAGTCCTGTTAAAAGTTAGAAACTTCATATATGTTATCACAGCTTTTGTAAAGTATCCTTAATATTTTATGTTATTCTACCACAGTGGTTGTTTGTATTTGTGTGTATAATTGACTGCTGAGACACAAAGTGCTCAAACACCATATGGAAATTATTCTTTTCAAAGGCACATCCAGAGAATCGTGTCACTCTTGCCCTGAAGGTAAGTATTATTATTGTATTTACTGTATACTTAAAAACCAGGTTATTCATTCCTAGTAATGAATTTGAAATAACTTATTTAAGGTAGTTTTTTCTATACCTACAGAAGCAACTTAATATTGGTTTTTAATCTAATTGTCAGATTTAGATCATTGAAATTTCTTGTTTTAGAAAAATTTCCAACTTTTAAGTTCAGGGGTACATGTGCAGGCTGCAGTTTTCTTGCATAGATAAATGTGTGTCATGGTGGTTTGTTGCACAGATCAACCCATCGCCAAGGTATTAATTCCAGCATCCACTAGCTATTCTAACTGATCCACTTCCTCCTCCCAGCCCCCACCCTCTGCCAGACACAAGTGTGTGGTGTTCCCCCCACCATTGAGTCCATATGCTCTAATTATTTAGCTACCACTTACGAGAACATGCAGTATCTGGTTTTCTGTTCCTGTGTTAGTTTGCTCAGGATAATGGCCTCCAACTCATCTGTGCCTCTGCAAAGGATATAATTTAATTTCTTTATGATTGCATAGTATTCCATGGCGTATATGTACGTTTTCTTTATCCAGCCTATCATTGACAGGCATTTAGGTTAGATTCCATGTCTTTGCTATTGTGAATAGCACTTCAATGAACATACATGTGCATGTAACAAAACAGTTTACATTCCTTTGAGCATACATCCAGTTATGGGTTTGCTGGGTCAAATGGTATTTCTCTCTTTAGGTCTTTGAGGAATCATCACAGCCTTTCACAGTGCTTGAATTAATTTACACTTCCACCAACAGTGTAAAAGTGTTTCTTTTTCTCCACAAACTTGCTAACATCTGTTGTTTCTTGACTTTTTAGTAATAGCCATTTTTAATGGTGTGAGGTGGTGTCTCTGTGATTTTGATTTATATTTCTCTAATGATCAGTGAGACTGAGCTTTTTGTCATATGCTTGTAGGCCACATGTATGTCTTCTTTTGAGAAGTGTCTGTTCATGTCCTTTGCCCACTTTTTAATGGGGTTGGGTTTTTTTTTCTTCTTGTCAGTATGGTTAAGTTCCTTATAGATGCTGGATACAAGACCTTTGTCACATGCACAGATTGTAAAAATTTTCTCCCATTTTGTAGGTTGTCTCTTTACTCTGTTATTTGTTTTGCTATACAGAAGTTCCTTAGTTTAATCAGATCCCATGTGTAAATTTTTGCTTTTGTTGTAATTGCTTTTGATATCTTCGTCATGAAATTTTGCCCATTCCTATGTCCTAAGTGGCATTGCCTACATTTTCTTCTAGGGTTTTTATAGTTTTGAGTTTTACATTTAAATCGTTAATCCATCTTGAATGTTTTGTATGGTGTAAGGAAAGTGTCCACGTTCAATTTTCTGCATATGGCTAGCCAGTTCTCTTAGCACCATTTATGAAATAGGGAATATTTTTCCCATTGCTTGTTTTTGTCAGGTTGTAAAAGATCAAATGGCTATAGGTGTGCAGGCTTATTTCTGAGTTTTAAGTTCTGTTCCATTGGTCTATGTGTCTGTTCTTGTAACAGCACTGTGCTGTTTTGGTTACTGTTGCCTTGTACTATCATTTGAAGTTGGGTAGTATGATGCCTCCAGCTTTGTTCCATTTGCTTAGGATTGCCTTGGCTATTCAGGTTATTTTGTTTGTTTGTTTCATATGAATTTTTAAACAGTTTTTTCTAATTATGTGAAGAATGGCAATGGTAGTTTAATGGGAATAACACAGAATCTATAAATTGCTTTGGGTAGTATGGACATTTTCAAGATACTGATTCTTCCTATCCGTGAGCATGAATTTTTTTTCTATTTGTTTGTGTCCTCTCTGATTTCCTTGGGCAGTGGTTTGTAGTTCTTCTTGAAGAGCTCTTTCACTTACCTTATGTGCTGTATTTCTAGATATTTTATTCTTTTTATGGCAGTTGAGAATGGGAGTTCATTTGTGATTTGGCTCTTGGCTTGCCTGTTTTTGGTATATAGGAATGCTAGCAATTTTTGCACATTGATTTTGTATCCTGATACTTTGCTGAAGTTGCTTATCATCTTAAGAAGCTTTTGAGCTGAGAAAATGGGATTTTCTAGGTAAAGGATCATGTCATCCTCAAACAAAGTTTGTTTTCTTTCTTCCTATTTGAATATCTTTATTTCTGTCTCTTGCCTGATTGCTCTGGCCGGAACTTCTAGTACTGTGGTGAATAGAAGTGGTGAGAGAGGGCAACCTTGTCTCGTACAGGTTTTCAAGTGGAATACTTCCAGCTTTTTCCCATTCAGTATGATATTGGCTGAGGGTTTGTAATAGGTGGCTCTTATTATTTTGCAGTGTGTTCCTTTAATGTCTAGTTTATTGAGAGGTTTTAACATGAAGTGATGTTGAATTTTATTGGAGGCCTTTTCTACATCTATTGAGATAGTGTGGTTTTTGTCTTTAGTTCTGTTTATGTGATGAATCATATTTATTGATTTTTATATGTTGAACCAACGTTGCATCCCAGGAATGAAGCCTACTTGATTGTGGTGGATAAGCTTTTTGATGTGCTGTTATATTCCATTTGCCAGTATTTCGTTGAAGATTTTTGCATTGATATGCATCAGGGATATTGGCCTGAAGTTTTTGTTGTTATCATTGTTGCTGTATGTCTGCCAGGTTTTGGTATCAGGCTGATGCTGGCCTCATAGAATGAGTTAGGGAAGAGTCCCTCCTTTTTAATTTTTTAAAATAGTTTCAGGAGCGATGATTTCAACTAACTCTTCTTTGTACCTCTGGTGGATTTCATCTGTGAATACGCCTGGTACTGAACTTTTCTTGGTTGGTAGGCTGTTATTACTGCCGCAGTTTCAGAGCTCATTATTGGTCTATTCAGGGTTTCAGTTTCTTCCTGGTTCAGCCTTGGGAGGCATACATGTCCAGGAATGTATCCACTTCTAGATTTTCTAGTTTATGTGAATAGAGGTGGTGGTCATAGTATAATCTGATGGTTGTTTGTATTTCTGTGGGATCAGTGGTAACATCCCGCTTATAATTTCTGATTGTGTTAATTTGAATCTTCTCTCTTTTCTTCATTTAGCTAGTGTCTAGCTAGATTTTTTCCCCAAAAAATCAGCTTCTGGATTCCTTGATTGTTTTGAAGGGTCTTTTTTGTGTCTCTCTCTCCTTCAGTTCAGCTCTGATATTGCTTATTTCTTGTCTGCTGCTAGCTTTGGAGTTTATCGGCCCTTGGCTTTCTAGTTATTTTAGTTGGGATGTTAGGTTGTTGAGATCTTTCCAGCTTTTTGATATGGCCATTTAGTGCTACAAATTTCCTTCTTAACATTGCTTTAGCTATGCCCCAGAGATTCTGATATGTTGTATCTGAAATTTCTTTATATAATTTACCATGTTAAATATAACTCATAGCTAATAACTTCAGAATTGGAACCTCATAGAACTCTTGTCCATAGCAGATTTCACTTTGATTTAAATGACTCTCATTTTAGTTACTATGGCACTCCTTCCTACCCCCAAACATTACATTTTGAAATAATTCAGGGTAGAATTCATATAGATAGAACTTCAGACATCTCAGGAGACCAGTGGGCATGAGTGAATGTGTAAGGACCCCTCTAATACTTTTCACATCCGTTACATTACAACAATGACCATACACTAAATTAGTAGTTCTCCAAGTATGTTCTCCAGATCAGCAGGCAGCTTCAGCAGCTGGGAACATGTTAGAATTGAATTTTTTTTCTTCTTTTTTTTTTTCTGAGATGGAGTCTCAGTCTGTCACCATGCTGGAGTGCAGTGGCTCGATCTTGGCTCATGCAACACCCACCTCCGAGGTTCAAGCGATTCTCCTGCCTCTGCTTCCTGAGTGGCTGGGCCTACAGGTACATACCACCACACCCAGCTAATTTTTGTATTTTTAGTAGAGATGAAGTTTATCCATGCTGGTCAGGGCTGGTCTCGAACTCTGGTGATCCACCCCCCTTGGCCTCCCGCAGTGCTGGGATTATAGGCGTGAGTCACTGTGCCCGACCCGCATGGAACATTTTTTAGTCCCACCTTAAAGCTGCCAGTTCAGAAACTCTTCAAATAACCTATGTTGTAACAAGTCCTTCAGATAATTTTGACGTTTACTAAAGTTTGAGAGCCACTTCACTAAATGAAACTATTGATAGCATTTGTACACCGTAAATTAATGCTGTTTAATTTTCTTTCACTTGCGATCTGTTGTTTGTTGGAAGCTTTTTTGTGTTTCCCTCACTTGGAATTTCAAGGAAGTATCTAAATTTTCTTTCTTTTTTTTTTTTTTTTTTTTTTTTGGGCTTAGTTTTACAGTAAACTGAGAATAAGGTAGGTATCTGATTCTCCAAAAGTTCAGTTTATTTTATGATTTAAACTTGTTGAGTTATGCCTCTGGTTCCTGTTATTCTCCCAGAGAACAAAAATGTGGATGCTTGGGGAAGTGGAGGAATTTGCATTTTTGCAGCACTTTATGTTACATGAAAGGGGAGGGGACTTCAGATTGCTAATGTTCCCTCAGCCGTAGAGCATGCTCATTTTTGACATGTGCTCTAGCCAAAGCTGCATGAAAGTATTTTCAGTCCCTACTGGAGTTCTCTCTCTTTTGATTGGTTAAGAGTGCAGGCTCTGGAAACAAAATGCCTGGATTCAGATTCTGGCTCTGCTATTTATTTGCTGTGTGTTGACCTTGAATGAGTGATTTAACTTTTCTGCGCCTCAGTTTCTTCATCTATAAAACGGGTGTTACAACATAACACACTTTAGAGGGGTTTTTTTTTTAAAGATTAAATGGGCTTTTTGTCAGTATTGGTTACTCCTGCTTCTGGTTTTGAGGATCTTTGGCTTCCATCCTCTACTGCATTCCTAGTCTTCCTTTTTTT